CTTGAATCCTGCTTATTAAAAGAATTAGTTAACCACAAATAATAGTGCGTAAACAAAATAATAAGTTATTAAATAAATTGTGTATAAATAATGTGGAGTTGAAATGACAGTTGAAGTTCCTCTTATAGAAATATCATCCTCTAGTATTTAAGTTTGTTTGTGGTATAATGAATAGGCAAATGTAACTGTAAATACAACTACAGGAATGAATAAATCTCATTATATTCTTTTAGCTGAAACATATTTCAATTTAAATTAAATATTTACATAAGCATTAAATAGTGAACAAGTATATATTTAATATATCTATATAGATTTGTGAGAATAATGTAAAAGTTTATAAAATTTTGTATTAATAAACAAATAGAAGATTATGGAATCATGGAGTACTGGAAGGAAATTTGAATTGTAATCTTTAAGTTATTATTCCTACTTATTTAAATCAATAAATTGTTGGTGTTAGAACAGATAAAGGTATATAATAAGGTAGTAGTGTTGTAAATTCAGGAAAGATGCCTGTAAAAGAAATCTAATAATTAAGTCAAGCAGGTCAATAATTATTAGATTTATAATATAAAATATAAAATTGTTCATCAAAAGATGTAATTATATAAACTATAAATATAGTTATTTTTAAAATCAGAATTGAAGAATTCTTAAATTGTCCATCTTAGAACTATGTAAAATATATTAAAATAGACTGATAAGTAATCAATTATTTGTTTTGAATATAAATCTCAATAAGATCTTTTTAATGCTTAAAAATTATTAATTGAAATAGCTTCAAAATTATTAGAATCTGCAGATTAATAAGAAGAAATTATCAGAGAAGAATATTATATTTTAATTAAATTAATTTTAAATAGAGGTGAATTAAGTTTAAATCAAGTAGGATTTTCTGAGGAAACAGAAAAAACTAGTGAAAAACTTCTTAAATTTAAAACAGAAATTGGTCTCAATTATTAATCATTTTTATATAAATGTCTTGGTATTGTATTATAAAAATTGAAACAAAAATCATTGGCTGAAAATGAAAGAGGTTTTGTTGAACATTTTTTTGCAAGCGCTTATTTTAAAATTCCTGAATTTAGAACTAAAATAATTGAAAGTGTTTAAAGAACTGATGATCCATAAATACCAGAATGGAGATCACTTACTAAATAAACTGATGAAATAACCAACAAGGAATTTAATGATTTATTTGATTGGAATAGACACTTTTATGAATATCTTACTAAATAACCTAAATATAATGCAAATATCAATAAACTTATGGAAATTATCAATTAAGAAGAATGGTAAAAGAGAATTGGTAAAAGAGGCATTGCATTCTTCTTCTTTCTTAAAGAATGGTGTGATTTAATTGATATATCAGTTGTAGTCAAACAGAATATTCCATATCAATAATTACCAGGGTATAATGTTTTAATTAAAGCCATGCTCTTGGAAATGAAAGCCAAAGAACTTAAGAATTATCCAGATATTATGAAAGCTGCAATGTGTTCACTCTTAAATAACACAAGTCTATTGAACATTGTTATTGTTATTCTATTTAACAAAACAAATCTTTTTGATTCTGATACTCTATTGAATTGCTTAGAAATCCTTAATTCTTGTTTATAATATCTCTGCAATCATAAATTATCAATGCCAACTTCATTGGATTAATAGTTCTTTTTAAAAGGAATTAGAATGATTTTATTATAATGTGAACATGCATTCAGTGTTTCAAAATGTCTTTGGCTCATATATAATAACTATGTCTTATTTCCATGTAATTAATATAAACATTAATAAATAGTGGACATAAGGAAAGATATAACAGATTTGCTGTTTGAGAATGTGGCAACCAAGTTTTTTATGCATTGGTCTTTCAATATTAGAATGATTTTCCATCATATTCTACTTTATAGAATATAACATCTTCATAAATCTAATAAGAATTTAAATGAGGAGTATAATTCTTAACTTATCATTTAGAGATTTAATACAAAAATATTAACAATAAGTGAAGCCTAAAAAATAACATAGTTTTTTCGATTAAAAAAATTCATCTAAGGCTATTATTGTAATTATTTAGTATAATAGATATATAGTCTGATGTAATTTATATGAAGTTCTTTCGATTTATGTAATAAATAGAAGAGGGTAAACAATTATCTACAAATCAGTAATTAAATTAAATGATTGAGGAAACTCATTTTCATAAATAAATGAAAACTAAATTAATAAAAAAAAGAATTTAAGATAAAAAAAAAGGTTCGTCTGACTAAAATAGTAGTAGTGATGCTTAATCATATAGAATTATTGATGAAGATGAATAAGATATTGCAATTCCTTTATTTACAGGAACTAATAATGAATTAAAACCTTAAATTAAATTACCTGAAAAAAAAGTTGCTGTTACTCAAAATTAATTAAAATATTTAATAAAAGCATGTTCTGAATTTGAAGAATTAAAATATAAATATTAAAAATGGAAATAATCAGTTATTCCAGTTAATTTTAATTCATTGTCAGAAGATGGTAAATTAAATATAATAATCATTAGAAAAAATAAATTTAAATGAAACTTTTAAAGTCCCAGAAGTTAAATTAGCTGTTCCATTAGATGAAAAAGAAGGAAACATCAAAAATACAGATGAATGGTGAAATATGATTTTTCCTTTTAAATTTAATAAATAACTATTAATAATAGTTTGTGTTTAATATAATATATTAATTCATTAATATATAAAAATTATAATGTCACATAAAATTAAAGTAGACGTAAATGAAGATGAAATATAAGTAGGTGGAGAAATGATACTTTGCTTAGCAGATTAATAATTGTTGAATGGTGATTAATTAAATGAAGTAGATGATATACTAGAAAATGATGAAATTAAAGTTTAAGATTAGATTAAAAAAAATGAAAAATTAAAAGAATAAATAAAAAAATCACATTATAGTTAAAAATATGATGGTGAAGAAAAAAAGGAAATCTTAGAAAAGTATGATGAAATTAAAATAGAAAAAGAAGGTTTTTATATTGCTAATGATGGAAAGATAATAGAAGAACCAAAATAGAATGATTTATTAGCAATTAAAAGTAAACTTAATAAAAATTAGCAGATTTCATTAAATGTCATAGATACAGTTGCAAGTGATTATAAGACATGTATTCCAACTACTATAATAAAAAAGAAATTTAAAAAGCCATAATAAGCTAATCCATTTGCTGAAGAAAGAATATAAAAAATAGATAAGGCTTTATTAGAGGAAGATGATTATGAATTATTACAGAGATCTATTTTAAATTAATAAAGATAGAAAATGAATTAATACATATTTAAATAAGAAGATAATATTAAAGAACTTATGGATTAAAATAAATAAAAAGAAGAAGAATTATAGAAATCAAAATAAAATGAATTTATGATTCCTTAAGTAAAAATTTAAGGAAGTGAAGTACAAGAAATAAAAGTTATAGAATAATCAACAGATTTTTTAAGTAATGTTAAGACAGATAAAGAAATGGAAGAGATTAATTTGAGAATTAACACTGGATATTCAATCAGAGATACTAAAAATGGAACAACCTCAGTTGTAAATGTTAGATTACCTACAGAAAGAATAGTTGTTTAAAATAGATAGTAATCTAAAATGGAATTAGAGAACATTAAGGAAGAAAATTTAAAAAGTGATATTTTTGTTGAGAAAGAGGAGTAATAAGAGAAAGACAATCATGAAATTAAAAAGGAAGAGGATGGTATAGAGTTTCTGGAAGAAGAATAACATGGTCATGGATTAACTGCAACTTTAGAATTATTGAGAAAGAGGGGAGAATTGAATCCATCAAAATATGATTATGTTGGAAGAAATAAAGATCAAAGGGTTTTCAAAGATTAAGAACAAAAGGATGGTGAAATAAATTTAGTTTATAGAGATCATTCTGGAAAATTAATGACACCTAAAGAAGCATTTAGATATTAATGTTGGATATTTCATGGAGATGGTCCAAGTAAGAATAAAATAGAGAAAAAGAAGAGAAGTGAATTAATAAGATAAAAATAGAAAATGAGAGCTTAATCTGAAGGACCCTTAATGTAAGCTTTGAAGGAAGAGTAAAAAAAGAAGGGAGTAGCACATTTGGTAATAGGGAAAAAGAAGTATTGAAGTCATATACAAGATTATTATATATTTATAAACTATTTTAAGATGCTTAAATAAATTATGAAAACAATATAAAACCATAAATTATGATGATAAGAAAATTTAAATCTTTTTTTTAGATAAAAATTAAATGAAGGTATAAACATTAACTAAATAAAGATCTACGTTGACGCATTCAGTGGAGAAGAAATTGTTTCAGACAGTTTCAATATGGAAGAGAAATTTGAAGGTGTTATTGGTGAAGTATAATCATAAGATATTGTTAAAGGAGCAATCAATGTTGATGTTGGTAAATTAAATAAATAATAATTTTAGGTGCTGGTGGTCATTTTGGTGGCAAGAATGAAGATGAAGAAGAAGGAGGTGTTGAAGATTAAGCCTAAAAAGTGAATAACATTATTGATGCTTTTAAATATGCTGAAACACAATTTACCAAAGCTGATTATGTCACATATTTCAAGGCTTATGCCAAGAAAGTTAAGGCATACTTAGAAGCCAATAAACCAGATAGAGTTGCTTCATTCTAAAAGGGAGCAGGTGAATTCATCAAATGGGTTTCCTCTAACTTCAATGATCTCTAATTGTAATTAATGCAAATGATATATTTTAGCTACTGTCCTGAGTCATACGATATGGAAAATCACATCGTTCTTGGTTATTATAAAGAAGGTTAAGCATCTCCAACCTTTGTTTATATTTTAGATGGATTAAAAGAAGTCAAGATGTGATGTATATATACATTAATACATATCATTAACAGAAATTCTTAATTAAATATTGCGTCTTATTAAATATTAAATAATAATAAGTAAAATATAATTATAGGTTTCATCTTTTAGCTAAAATCATTCTATCACAATTAAAACATTTGAATTTATTATTACCAATAGCAAATAAATGATATCTAAATAATTGATGCTTTCCTATTTATTTTTAACATAAATGACATGTTTTCTCTTGGAATCCTTTGCCACATCCATAACATGCTTTGCTGGATACTCTATTGTTGTAATTTATCTGGTTCTACAAATAAAACAATTATGTAGATTTATGGGTGGTTTTTTATCTCTATAATTATCCCTTTCTGTATCTTACTACATTAAACATCGATCAAAAATAAAGCATTTTATACCTGCTCTTGTTTATTCTTTAACTAAAATAATTGATATCAATAATATATACTTTTAATCATTGAAGATAAATTATCAATTGAATGAAACCAATTTAAATAAATCTTATAATTATACTACTCCTCTCCCAGTAATATTAGTTTTCATTAAATTAAGATACTTTAAAGATTTATATTGTTCTGCCTAATAAAATTCATATATTGCTCCACAAAAACTATCTGTAATGTCTTCATTCTTTGCTATTGACAACTTTTCTATGTTAATCATAATAGGACTCTTTATGAACTTTAAAAGTGTTACTTTAACATTAAATATCAAAATTACTCTCTGAAAAGGTTTGTCCATCTAAATTTAAATTCTTTAATGAACTCATATATTTTGCTTCACTTAAAATTCTAATGGCTTCCCCAGTCATATATGATTTAATAAAAGTTCCAATATTCAATTCCACCATATTAATAGTGTTAGGAGAATTACAAAGATGAGTCATACTTTCATTAGTCAATGGACAACTATTAATTATAAAAACCATCAAGGATTTGCAAAATTCTGAATAAGCAAAGGCTTTAATGCTTTTATCTGTAAGTGGCTAATGAGATAAATCTAAGTATTCTAAAAATGCACTATTAGAAGAATTAAAGTATTCAATCTATCCTTTATCAGTGACCCCAGTAAATGACAAATTCAAATATCTAAGACGAACATTCTAACTAAAAGATATACATTATAGTCCTCTATCTGTTATATTTAATCCTTAAAGAGATAACTTGTTGAGATGATTTACAAAATTTCTAAACTTATTTGAATCTGAGAACTGAGTTTATGAATCACTTGTATGAGTCATAGCAGCATTACTATTAAAATTTTAACCTGTCATTCCTCTAGGAGATTCTAAATGTTTTTTAGTTCTTCTTAAACTTTGAGTAGCATATAAAGTATATTAATCTAAAGTTTTCATAAAAAGTTATGTAATGAACATAATTCCATTATCAGAAACAGCACTGTCATCAAGGAATAAAGTTTCAAGTTTAACTAAAAATTATGACTCTCCTATCAATCTGAGGAATATGCCTGTTACATTAAAAGAATTTTTGGATAAATCCAATTCAGTAATATTACAACCATTTTTTGAGGAACAAATTATGGACATCCCTTATACAGTAATATTACTTTATTATAAATGTAATTTTTGTAAATCTTGCATATTGAGTTTTTGGATTCAAATTCTAAAGTATTATCATCAAATATCTTCATACCAGATTTCTCCTTTTTTGTGAAATCAACATGTTCTTCTTTGTCTTCTTTCTTAAATTAATAAGTTTCTTCGACATAGGGCATTTTTATGTGATTTGTAGCTTTGTAATAATGTTTATAACCTGACAGGATATTACCACTAATTGGTATTCCATATCCTCCTTTTTAAAGATTATAATCCATTATATAAATTAGAATTAAAAATCAAAGGGAACCTAAATTTCATATAAATAAATATAATTAAAAAAAATTATTACAAAAAATTGGCTCTATTAAATAAAGAATAAAGAGTATCAATTTAATGTCTTTTATGATTCATCAGGCAATTCTTTCGAGTAGATAGAGGAAGCTTTAAAACTATTCAAGTATTCCTTATTTGTTCTATTTAACATTACAGAATCAACCTCTGTTAAGATTTTAGGTAACTTTAAAGATTTAATGATAGTTTAAGATGAAATAGAGCATTCTGGTATTGAATATTTTGGTCTTGCAGCTGCAGGAAACACCTAATTATAAATTATTGTTACTTTATTAATAATAATAATCTAAGTACTTTTACTAGCCTCGATATTAAATAATGCTTTATCTAATGATAATGGTTCACTATTCTAAATATTTTATTTAATAATGTCAATATTTCTTCTAAAATTATAATGAGCTTTATTAATATGACCATGTCCTTACAACATTTCATATCCTGTATGTTCAATAGGATTTCCAATTCTTTCAACAGAATTTTTTATTCTAGTTTTAGTCTAAACTGCTTCTATAAATGGAACATCTCTATGTTCAACACATAAAGGTATTTTTTTGATTTCTTTAATAAGATTCAAAGATTATGTTCTTTAATTTAGTTTTTTGGCATCAAACTTTTATAATTTTTAAATTGCTTATCCTTTTTAAAAATACTATAAAAATCTTTATTTATCTAATACAAAATAAATAACTTTCTAGCTTATACTAATAGCTCTATATTATCTTTTAGTACCAGCCAAAACCTTAAAGTTATAATTAAATATACTTCTTCATGCCCAAATATCTAACCTGCAGTAATAACAGAAGTTCTAACTCTTTCTAATTTTCTTTCTGTTTTAGTTAAGAACTTTTAAAGTGTAAGATTAGGAGTTATTTATTATTAAGTTACATCAACAAAGCGTGACAATTCTATTTCTCCTTATTTCAGTAAATATATATTACTAATGTATTTAAAGATAATAATACTTTGCATCTTCATCTTCTTTATAAATCACTTAAAATAGTTTTCTTTCTTCAATTTTAAAATGATAATATAATTGATTTAACATTTATTCATTCCAATCAGAAAATATGGCTACTTTACTTAAAAATCCAATATTCTGTTTTTATTATGCTTCATAGAATGCTGACAATAATTTATTAAATTAATCTCTTGTAACTGTAGCAAAATGAGTATCTTCTGCTGCAATTATTGTTGCTGTTCTTGGCACTTATTTAGTCAGTGCTATTTCACCAAAACTTTCTCCTGCATTAATTATACCTACTTTTGTTAATGTTGGAAATTAAGTATCTAGATATTCTTAATCTGTCATTGTAGCAAATATATCATCTAATATAACTTATGTTACAAATGCTTAAGATTTTATTTTTTTTGTTTTTCTTTTTGTACTCTTTTTAATATTCTCCATCATTTCCTTATTTTTTTCATTTTTTAATTGTTCTTCTTATTTTTAATCTTCTTCTGTAGGACCAGAACCTTCTTACAATCCCTTTTTCTACACTAAAACCCAAACACTACCCTTTAGAATTATATAAAACTTTTTTCCAAGATCACCTATGTTAAAAATTATCTATCTTTTTTTCTGCAATTCATAACCCAATTATTTGTATAATCCTTAAACCATTTCACCTCCCATCGATTATTCTAATTCTTAGAAAAACTTGAATCTAAAGAATGATAATCTAATTTTATCCACATCCAGTTATGTTCTTTAATTCGGATCCTTCTAAAGTAACTTCACTATGTTCTATAAATTAATTTCCTTTATAGCATACTTAAAGATCTTCGTCATCCTCAAAATCTATATCAGATTTTTTAAGAACCTCCTAAACAATCTCTTTTATTGTCAATCTATGTGTAGATAAATTCCCTCTAACTTTTTCTATTGCAGCTTTCATAATTTTGTATTAATAAATATATTGTTAATAAAATTATCAAACCCTTTTTATCTTATCAATTTAAAGAAAATAAAAAAATGAAATTCTTTAAAATTTAATATTTATTAACTTTTCAGATCCTAAATTATACAATTCCAATTTCATTAGTAAAAATAGATATGATTTATGAAACTTATCCTTTTAAGATTTACTGATGTCTGTAGATATTTATGATTAGTATCCATACATATAAGAAATTAATATTAAATCAATTGAATATGGAAAAAAAATTAAATTATTTGAATGTAGCATCAATTTATTCATCTTATTATCTACAATGCCATTAGAAATTTAATATTATTTAGCCAAGTTGTTTTGTTATTCATTATGAATAATTGCTATTTATTCATATGAACTAAATTATTTAATATGGTTTTTAGTTATCTTATTTATTTTATTAATATATTTGATAATAAAAATAAGATTTCTAGATTTAAAAAATAATGTACTATTTTAAAAATAACATAGTAATTAATCTATAAAATTCTCTAATTATTATTGTTTAATCAAAATTAATTAATAAAAATGTTTCTTTCTTTTTATTATTCGATTTTTATTAAAAAATGAATACTATTTTTGATATATTATTTATTCTATAAATATAAATTATAAGCTTAGAATTTCATACTTTAAGATTTTAAATAAAATTTGTATTTTATTATCATTATCAACACCTTGTAAAAGTATAAATTTATAAATTAAGAGATCTCTCCTTTTATAAATGTATTGAATTTATTATTATATATTAAGAGTATTAAATAATATTATGGTCTTTTCATCAAATATGAATATAATTGAATTATAATATTTATCAATAATTTTAATAAATGCAAGTTTATGACAACCTCGCTCTGCAAGAAGTATAATCTATAAGTGTTGATGACTCTCCTGATAGATTGAAGGAGATAATTAGAATGATTTTATAGGAATTGAATTAAATGGGATATGATGATGTTTGTAAAATTCTTGAAGATGAATCTCAAACTAAATTAGACACTACATAAATTAGTGAGTTAAAAGAATCCTTTTTAAATGGTGATTATGAAAATATTTTATAACAATTAGACTACTCAGACATAATCAATAGAGTACTTTATTATTTAAAATAGAAATTATAATTTGAGATATAAAAATAATTGTACTTAGAAATAGTTCAATAAAGGAATTATGAACAAGCAGTTAATTTATTAAGGTAATTATCAGAATACAATGAATAAGAATCATAGGTTTTAGCTAAGTAAATAAGTTAAGTATAATTAGATTGATATTTCTTTAAGAAGATGCTTCTTAATTATATGCTTAATTAGGGATACCTATAGATTAAAAAGAATAAAGATTATAACTTTATTAAAAAAGTCTAAATCTGTTAAATTTTGGTGATTTTTCATTATAAACTTAATTTGATAAAGTAATTGATTAAGCTTTAGAATATTAAATTAAACGTTGTCCATATCACAATGATTCTAATGAGAATAAAAATTACTCTTTATTAATTGATCACAATTGTTAATCGTATTAAATACCTAAAAATAATTCGATTCTTTTTTAAGGTTTTGATGATGAAGTTTGGATTGGTAAATTCTCTAATTCAGGTATATGGATTGGTTGTGCAACAAGAAAAAATTCAATATATATTATTTCAAAGGATTATTAATATAAAATAAATAAAGCTCATGGGATGGATATAAATTCATTAGTTTTTTCATCAGATGATAAATTGTAAAAAATGAATAATTTTAAAAGATTAGGTTATTTTCAGGATCAAATGATAAAAAGATTAATGTTTATGATGTATAAACTGCTTAATTAAAAGTAACAATAAATTAACATACTAATGAAGTTTTATGTTTAGCTTATTTTAAAAAGTATTTTAATATATAATTATAAGTCATTTATTTAGTGGTGGTGTAGATGGATGGATAGGTATATGGTAAGACAATGGTAAATTAGTGAATTAAATAAAAAGCAAAGTAGTAAAGAATATTTTATTAACAGATTAATACTTGTTGCTTCATAATGCTGCAATATTTTCAATTACTGTTATTGAAAATGATTTTAAATTTAATAAAATAATAACACATATGGAAGAATAAGAATTAATTGTTTCATCAGCTGTCAGTTAAAATTAATAATTCCTAGTATTAAATGTTTCTAAAGAAAAACCAAAATTACATCTTTGGAGTTTAAAGACATTTTAAAAATAGCATGTTTTTTTTGGATTTTAAGTTAAAGGAATTGAATTGAAATGTTGTTTTGGTAGTAAAAAAGACAATTATGTTTGTGTTGGTAGTTAAGATGGTAAAGTATATTTTTTTAATAAAAATAATTAATTACAATAAAATATCATTAATGGACATAATTAAGCTATTAATTTCGTTGATTGGCATAGTTAAACAGCCTAATTATTAACAGCAAGTGATGATAAAACTGTTAAAATATGGACATAAGACTAGGTAGTATAATAATAAATAATTAATATTATTAATGAATAGGAATAACCATCAAATACTCAATTAAGTGAAATTGTAGAAGAGTAAAATGATCATGAAGAAGAAGAATACTAATAACAATCAGAAGGAGATCAATCATTTTGAATTATAAAATAAACATCAAAATCTTATTCAATTATAAATGATTCTCTTTAATATTAAGATATCTTTTCATATTAATATGAAATCTAAATTTTAACATATTATTATTATACTTAAAATCATAAATTATTTTATTCTATGAATCTCCCTTTATATTTAAATATGTCTTCATATTTTTTTTGAATCTTTTTTGGCTTTTATTAAATCTAAAATTAAAAATATTAACAACTCTTGTAATTGATAAATAGAATTCATACCACACTTATGGAATGTTGTCGAAATAGTATAAAATTTGATTAAGAATATGTTGTAATATAATCAAAAGTACTCTTGACATGAGGAACATTAAGAAAATAAGAGGAATAGTATATTTTCAGTTTATTAAAATTTTAATTTTAG